TAATAAAACGCAATCATCATGTAATAACAATAGGTATTTTACATAATACTAATAATGACCCAAGTATCCAAAAGCTCACGAATGTATTCAGTAATACCAATAATAACAAATAATAATTACTATGGGCAATAATCAGATTCTCGTCACTTCACTGTTTAAATTGTCGACAATGGATGATAAAAATGAAAAAAAACAAAAATTCAGAGGAATCACATAAGCGAAGAAACATTCGAATGAATAAAGCAATACTTCTATCTCGAAACAGTGGTTCCCTCTTAAAGCAAATATTATACGTCGAGTATAATATTGTTTCTTGCCAACATCAAAATACAAAAATACTGAATGATGACAATAATAAAACTTCACATCATATTACCATTCTTACGTGATTATTACATAAGACATCTGCTAGCACGTACAGTACAATACAATTTCATTGAATTCACATAATTACACCGTAATTAACGTCAAAACATAGTCACTCGAATATAAATTGGAAATAAAGTTGGATGTTAGACGATAATAATAATAAATGAAATCAAGAAGCCTGAAGCGAGGTCTCATATCAGATCTGTCTTGTTATATCAGGCCGGTAGACAGATTGGAAACTGTTTCACGTGAGTTTGCCATTGGGATGAAGTTTGGAAAAACCTCACACCACTCCATGAACACCCATCGATGCACACTGAAATGATGAGGATCGCAATAATAATAATAACGGTTGAAATCAACGATGAAATCAATACGAAATGAATAAAATTAACATTCCATGAAAATTCTAACACACTGACCATTCAACGGATGTTTTCCACTGCATATCAATCTGGTCACATTACTGATCGTTTGCGCTGGAGTTTGCGTCTCTGAATCACTTTTCTGCAATAATAACTAATCAAATCAATAGACAATTACTCAAATAATGATACTCAACAACACAAACAAATCTAACCTGTCCCTTTTTCATTCCCAATTTCTGTAGCATTTTTTCACGTTTCTTCTCCTTGATGAACTGGAATGACAAGAGAGCGCAATGTGGATTTCGTGTGATTGTAAATAAGCGGAACGCTGATCGGAGGGAACATTTCACTGGCTGAGGATCTTTCTTTGATGACGACGATAAGACGGATGCAGGTAGTGACGAAGAAACGGTGCCAGCCACCGGCGGTGGACTTGCCACTGTGCTACCAACTGACGACGGTCCAATTCCTGGAGAACAGCACATTGGCTGTTGTTGTTGCTGCTGTTGTTGTTGTATATCGCTCACTCCTGTTGTACCCTGAAACAGCAAAAATTCTGTTTTCACCACAAAAAAAAATTCCAAATCTCACCAATTGGCATTGAAAGACTAAAGAAAAATCGCCATACCAATGGATTTGTCGAAATCCAATATTCGATTTGTAGATCTTGTGAATCCGATATGGGACGTTGCACACTGTGCGGTGATGAAGGCGGTGAGCAGTACAACGATGTTGTATTACCAACTCCAGGTGCCGTTACGTTGACGACCTCAAATTCAAATTCATGCCACAATTGTAATAACAACAATAATAATAATAGCAATTATCAGTAATATTGCATTTACCAATCAAATATAAAAATCAACCTGATTCTCATCACTGAAACGTGCTGACAACAGAACACATTCGTAGTCGTCATCCGTCTGTCCCAAATGCACTTCCGATAAGAACGGTACAAACACTTGAGTACATGCATCCTTGTCTTCGCCACTGCAACAATCACTCAATACTCAGAAGAAGGTCTTCTACATAAACTCTCAAATGCATTCTATCAACAACTCGACTCGATCCCTTCACCCAACTCCATTACAATTCATCATTTCGTCCAGTCCATAAAGTGCGATAACAACAGCAATAATAATACAACTAGTAATGAATGCAAATTAAATCCTCCAATTGTTCAAAAGAAACCTTTTGTTATGAAACTGTAGCATCGCTTCACCAATTGGCAGTCGGTGTGTAGCACCTTCACTGAAACCTCGTAAACGTTCAGTCAACACCTTCAGATCAGTGGGCGAGTAGTCTGGAGAGGTGCCTCGTTCGAAGCTATCCTTCAGGAAGAACGATGAACGTCCTCCGTCTAGCAACGTCAGCGTCTTGCCGATTGCACTTGACGGTGGCGAGATTACACAAAATCTGGAAATATTCTCGAATTCTTTCAACCCACAAGTTTTTATTGTTTTTTAATCACTCTCATATCTTTTCTCACTGAAAGCGTTCTCTTGCCATTTTTTCTCGTTCTACTCTGACCACTTTGAAGTTCGCCTCTCACGACACTCTCATTCTCTTTCGCACCATTCATTGTACCATCTTTTACTGTTTCACTATTCGCAAATTTATCAATCCGCTTGCAATATTGTCAAAATTAAATGCAAAGTGTGAACGTATCGAGTGAATAGATTCAAAAGCGAATGAACCAACTTCAAGAAGTTGATCCAATCAGGTTGTTTATTCTGCAATGATTCCACATAAGCACGCAGCACATAACTCAGCAATCGATCACCACCAATCACACCCAAAACTGTACATGGTGGTGTGCTCGATGAAGTGTTACAACTGAAATTACGAATATTATCGTCAATCCATCGTAAATATTCCCGCTGAAACGCTCACAATCGGAAATCTGAACAAGTCATCTGCAAATATCGATAAAATCGCTCAAAAAAGCAAATGTCAACGAACAATTTCTGGATTTTAGCCACAATCGACGAGATTAACAGTTTGCAATCACTGAACGATGAGCAATCCAGTAAACAGAGTGACGGATCAAGAGATGCTAGCATCGGTAGTTCAGCCATCGAACAAATCCAAATCCTATCCTCAACACTCCACGGCTCATCATCACGCAAAACTGAACTCAACTGAAACGTTCGCTAACATGATCAATTCATAATTCTGTAAAGTCACCTAAACAATAGCAATACACAACGAATCAACTAACTTGATCAGATATTGTGAATGTTCTCGGTGTGAATGGATCACTTCTCGCTTTTACTTCAGCCAGCGATATCTTTCGCCGACTCGCTAGCATGTGATCACCACCGTTCCCATTACCACTATTACTGCTAGCCGATTGTGATATTGAACCAAGTGTCAAAGAGGTATGCACTAATGGGTGAACTGCAGCACCTCCAGATACCGTCACTCCCATACTCGAACTCGACGGTATATTCGTTGTTGGGGTGGTGTTGTTGTTGTTATCATTATTATTATTAACGTTTGCGTTAATAACACTGCTGATCGATTGAGTTATGGTTCTGTTATCGCTATTACCGTTATTATTATTACTATTGAGTGGAGCTGATGAATCGAGACTGGTCGTGGCACGACACGACGACAAAAGCGCAGTGCCGCGGTGTGCGACCCCTCCAGATGCTGGTCTGAATCACCTTACTGATTAGAGCACAATTTTGGTGTTACCAAAAGAAAAAATTGATAAAATTTACTGCGTTATACACCATAAAGAAATAATGTATCAAAGAAAAATGTTTCTCCTAGAAATTTCTCACGAAAACGACACCTTTTCTGAGAAAAACTTGAGATATTTCCAATAGCAGCAGCACCAGTCAACACGACGTTATTATTCTCAATCTCAGATGCACCACTCCACTCCTCATCTTCACTTTCATCACTTTGACACTGAAATTTTTGTAAAAACTCTCTTGATTTCAAATTAATGAATCTCGGAAATAACTGAAAATGGATTGGAAACATGTGATCACTGAAACATCAGCAGAATTATACCAATAACAACACTAAAACTAACCCGATCATCGTTGATCGCAGGCAAAAGCTCTCTGGATGAAGTCGATGCGAAATAGGGTCTCAGGCCCGGTCGAGGATTACTCACAATACTCAAATTATCCATCACCATTTCCGGACCCGAATCCGACAAATCCTCCAACTCCTCGAACAACTCCTCCAGCTCCTCAGCTGTCGGCGCTACACCGGCCGATTGCGATGTCTCATCTACACGGCAGATCATTAAGATGTTAACATTAACTATTCGTGCTCTCATCACTATTTTATCGGTGAGAAGATGTCATTATCAACTGCGCCAACACCGCAAAACTCACCCACACCAACTTCTTCGGGCAATCGAAACTTCTTCAATAACGACGCAAATTTCTGCTTCAGATTCTTCCTAGCTGCCAGTTTGCGTTGACGCGTTGTGTCATCTCGCATCTTCATTCTGCAATATTANATCCCCAAATAACTCAATAATTTCTTCAAACCTAATCAACTGTCTATGAAAATTCAATTCGGAAAACGTTTTCCATTCCATTTCCACCACAACTCAATTTTACAATCAATTTACTTCATTATCCATTAATGAATAAATAAAATATCCCTAACATATTCTATTCCAATCGTCTATTCTCTGTTCATCTCACACACTCAACAGTTGCAGTGGAAATGCAAATTGAAAATAAAAACTGAAATGACAATCAAATTTTGCACACAAAACGCAATTTTCCCTTTGAACTAAACTCGTAATCCTCCCTCCTCTCTCTCCGAACTAAATTGAGAATCGAGAATTTCCATTCCATTTCACAACAATCATATTACTTTCTCAATTTTCGTTCAATGCACTAGAACGGAAATTGAAGACAGAACAAAGAAAAAAATATTTTACACGAGACCGACCAGACGAAACCATCTTTCAGCATTCAACAATACCTTAAAACCACAAAATGTGATTTTATTTACTAATCACAACATTCACCATCCATACCAAATCCCTTCCTGTCCACAACAACGATAAACCTCCCATCACCCATCCACATTTAAATTCTCTCATCCATAGTGCATAATGAATTTATCTGTATAAATGCAATTTATTTGTATAATTGCTTTCGACTGCTTTCAGCGAATGACGACAATTCAATTAAACAAATAACTGAATCAACCAACAGAAGTAAGCAAATAAAATTCACCAACAAACGAATAATCGAATTGATAAATGAAACTATCTATCTATTCCATTATAATATACTTTCATGCAAATATAAATTCATCACATAATATCTCACATCAATAACCAAAACGATGCAATTTCATTGAATAACTGTGCCATTTAATTGCTTTCACTCTAATCAAATCCAATGGAATGCAATCGAATACGAATTTAATCAAATTCTCTGAATGCTATTGAAACACGTACGAAGTTAATTCAAAAATTAATTCACTGCTCTACTTGAAACGTTAATTTCATTCACTTTCATTGTTCTTTTAATAAATTTATAAACGTTCAATTATAAATTTTTTGTGAACGTTTGTTCACTGTTGCTCAATCAAAATCATTCTCTTTTCTAACTTTGATTAACTATTCTTCAACTTCAACAATTTCATTCCATTCCGCACACTTCAAACTTAATTCAACATATTTTTTTATTCTTCTGGAATCAATTCGCCCCAAACATTCAACCGCATTGCACTTCAATATCCTCGTAATCCCACAACAACAAATCATGCGTGCAAAAATCGCTCGCGAATGATACACAATGATTGAAATGACCCGAAATTACAAACAAACACAAAAAAATTCTCAACGCTCTGCAAATCGCTCTGAAATGACCCAAAATGATTCAAACCTGCGCTTATGATGGTCCCTCGACCTGGCAGAGTCAGGTATCTGATCGTGGTCGTTGTCCGAATAAGGCATATCGGTTGATGATTCCTCCTCTTCTTCACCTCCACTTTCGATGTATTTCTCTTTTATTCTTTGCACTGTCACCACTTCATTCTCCACTTCAAATGCTTGACTTTGACACGATGCTAACAGCAAACGACCGATACACACTGAAACTGTCATGACCTAATACAGTAACATCTTGCATTACGCTCTAATTCATACAATATTTTATAATAATGACTCTATTCAAAACAAAATCAAAACAATAAACTCATTAGCAAAATGCTAATAATAACACCAATAGTAAATCAGCTCGACAACGTATCTACCTCATAAATTTTCTTACAAATGAATTACAAAATGAATCATTTCTTAATCAACTTATTTGCACAATACGAAACTAACTTAAAACTAACGCATCAACTAACTTAAATTAGACTACTGAAAGCAATTAATTATACTAAAATAAACTCGATTTCGATTCAATTCGAACAAATAAGCAACAATCAACTGATCGCTTATTAAGAAAACATTCGTGCGTAATGATCAAAACGAATCGAATCAATAAAAGAAACTGAACACAGACAGCTTCGATAGATGAATCACCAATGGTTTACGGTTCATACTGATGATGACGATGAATTATTATTATTATAACAAAAATATTTGCGCAATTACAAATTCAGCATCTATTCACTGAGCAGTATCGTGTTAATGTGACAGTAACGATGTTCAGACAGTATCACGCAATGCACACTCANATCACGCAATGCACACTCAAATAAACACTATTCACGATATTTATAGCCGAAAAGCACTTTACATATTTGTTGGTTTGTGTATATAAAAGTGCACAAAAATACTTTTCATCACATCAAAAAGCGCAAAACGCACAATTGTTTGTTGGCAGTTCTTCTTTTTCTGCGTCCGGATCGTACAATAAAATCTCTCTCAATGAACCATTCTGCAAAATCTCTGCCAAATTCACTGTTCCTGAAATTGTAAAGTAAACGAAATTTCTCCTCAAACATGTAATCAATCCCTTTCTAAACCCCAATAAATTTCTACAACCGAAACCAATTTAAAAAATATTTCTTCCACTCCAATGACGAGGTGTGTGTGTATGTGCACGGATAGATCAAACAAAATCTCTAATAATGGAACAATTGTAATGTGAAAAGCAATGGTGAAACCTTTTTATATCGTCGAAAATGAGAAACTCCGCTCACATTCGAACAAAAATAACCTTGATTTTGAATTGACGTATCATAAAAATCCCACAAAAAATCCCCGACTCTATGAAAAAGCAACCTTGAAACCTCGAAACCATTTCTAAATCTCTCATTGTGTGGATTTTTTTTAAAATTGCGAAAAGAGCTCCGCTCTTATTCCTAGGATGTGTTTTCAAAAACATCACAAAGGGCCATTAAAAACTCCAGACAAAAAAAAACTTCAAAAGACGAAGAAAGGTCCAATGATACAAAGGAGCACTCGACAACAATACGTCAAATGAATAACATATTTACAGTTATTCATTCAAATCGAATTGCACAATTGACACATCCCCTTTACAATGAATCACATCCAATTGAAACTATAATATTATCCGAACTGCTCAATCATTAAAGTATTATGCTATAATTCATAGAAATTGCACACCATATCACGCGTAATCCTTTCATCTTTCATCAACACTTTGCACTGTACTACTGCTATAATTATTACTGTTTTCATGGAATGACGATCGATTTGAGGGGTTCGAATTAAATTTGACGAGTTTGCCGACAATATTACTTGTAAAGAAGGAACAAAGCTAACCGATAGCCAACGTTTTATATCCTGGAATCTGACGGTTTTTGTAGCGCTTTCGACGTTGCAATAGGATTTGTAGAATATTACTTTTACGTTTCAAAAAGTGTGGATACTGCAAGAAACAATAAGATTATACTCAGAACACAACGATAGTGTCACTATTTTTTATTATCATCTCTTATTGTTATCGCTATCGCTGTTGTGATTGTATATTGTAAATTCATATTATTTATTGCAAATTTTATCTTTTTGAAATATTATTGTGCTCGTTTCTCTTCTTTCTTTTCTATAACTAGTCAATTCACACGGGCAAATTTCGATCTGGAGTGGATTTTCAATCTTATTTCACCGCTTTTCTCAACACCATCTCTTTTCTGAACAAAGCCCATGCTCTTGTTCTTTTTTCTCATTCTTATAACAGCACGTACAAAAAACATCTGTCACCACCTTCTCATTCTCTCACACAAAAAAATACTCTCCAATCGCTAGTACAACTTTGTCCACACTCTAATTTCCACTTTCATATATTCAATACGCATTATTCTACGTTTCAAACTCATTTCCACAGAACGAAACATAAATTTGCCTATATCCCGGATTCAGTTCTATCAGAACATCCCAAAATTCCATGCTTATGCCACCCATACTGATATCCTCAATAAAATACTCCTAAATCACTTCGCCCTAAGCCGAAACCAATCAAATACTAACAATAATAATCACCCGTATCCAAAAGATGAATAACACCGCGACCTAACATAAATATATCCATTTTTTCTCAATAACACCAGTAAATCTCTACATTCAATACCTACTACTATAATAGATACAAATGCAACTGAACCCAAAAGAATTCATTAATTAATTGAAAGGTTTTCATGCGATCTCAATCGCATTTCTCTCAACAAAACAATACCAAACTTCCTCAACACATCCATCACCATAAAAACTAGTTATTCTCAACTAATAATAACAATAGTAACCTCACAGTTGCATTCATTCAAAATCTGTTATTATCATATGACATCTCATGATAATAACACACATTAATATGTACGTTCTACACATAAAAATTAAATTACTCGCCTAAATCAAACAATATTCTTCTATTGCACAATTGATCAAACTCCTCCATTTATCAACAATCAAAATTCTGTCAAAACAATTCAAATCATGGGACTGTCGAATGCGATTTTAACAGACCAATCGATGATTAAGAGTATTGTAATGCACAAAGAATAATATTGGATAAAATAATAATGGCAACAGGTAATTGCAATGTGATATCCAACCTGAATGGTGAACGAAATATTCAGGTCAACGTCAAGTTTACCATTCACTGCTGTCACAGCAAAATCATTACTTCGTAACGTTCGTTTATATCCCTGAAATGGTTTCTTTTTATACCATTTACAATTTCAATAGATAATATTGAATAGTAATTATAACAAACAATAATAATAATAATAACAAACCTGGAGTTTCACTGTAACAACCAGCGTACATTGCTGATCTGGGAATGGGTTAATACTCAACCGTGATAATGCCATGGTGAACATTCTGAAATTTATATTGCTTCTACGAAAACTTCCACACAAACATCATATCCAACGGTAGAGATGTTTTTAAAAAACCTTAGATTACCAAATCAGTCAGTAAAAACCAACCGCTGTACTGCACTGGTTGAGGCTCGATCACCACCTGTCTCCCAATTTGCGAATAAACGCATTGGAACAATACGATTCTGATTGAGTTCCATTTTTTCAGCTGTTCTGGATAATATTTCAGAGGAGGACGTTTCGGGTTCTAAAGAGGTTCCCACAGAAGTCTGAAGAGTGTGAACGATTCTCTGAAGAGACGATTTTGCACAGATCAAAGTAATATGTTGACTGATATTATTACTGATAATGTTAGTCGCATGATACTCGGAAAATTGAGATGATCGCGTGATATCGCAACTGACACTTCACAGTTGCATATGTTTATTGTTATTATTATTATTACAATTACTGACGATGATTTATGTATATAAATATATCCATATATTATCTGTTCGTCGTTGTGAACAATGAATGGATAATCTGAAAAGATTGCAGACTGTTACGGAAATATGTTCGAAAGTTCATTTTAACGTATTTACAAAATAGAGTTTTGTTTATCTTGTTCGTTGCTGTTTTTTGATGGCAGATAGTACGATGGGAAATTCGAGTTGAAGTTTTTGGAAGGTTTTTGATCTTTTTTTGGTGGTTTTAGCAATAGGAATTCACAAAATAGCGCGTTTCATAGAGTACATCGAATTGAACAAAACAAAATTGCTCTCGCACAGTACTCCCCTCAAATTGAAATCTATTCTATCGTTCCAATCGAAACGATACGCCGCTTATTACCAAATTCACCGAAAACACTTTCATTCCCATCTTAATTAACACTATTTTTATTTTTCTGAACGCTTTACCACAAATACATTTCAAAGAGATTTCAGTTAAAAATCGCTCATTGCATACGAATTATCTTAAAGTATTTGATGCGTTGATAATGTTGTGATGAATGGGCGTAACGCGAGTAAAACTCGAAAATACAGGTAAGATCAGACTCGAATAAGGCAACTCTGGATATTAATCAGTAAAACTGGGCAATTTCAGGGGAAGTTCCGTTATAATTCACGCGAAATGTACATAACATATAATATGCAGCCGCAACAGACCAACCATTGAAGAAGACTAATAATTGACGTCGCTATTAAATCATTTTGTGAATAGTAACAACCAAATTAAATTTGCATAAAATCCATAATAACAATTATCATTATTATTATAAATGATAGCAATAAATTCAAATTATGCAAAGAATTAAGTAACGGATCGATCAAATTTGATGTAACAGGCGATTTCTGTGAATATCTCTGTGCTACTGACAACTGAATCTACTATTAATCCAATATCAGTTAACCTAATTCAACAGGAAATAAATAATAACATTATATTGATACTACCTTATTAAAATTCAACTTACTGAACCCCAAATTCAACTCGAAATAATCAGATCCCTTCTTCACATCACTCAGTAACCATGCAACAATCCTATCTACAATCTCTTCTTTCCAATAACCTCCCTATAATATCTCGCACCTCCACAATTCCTCCCGTGATGTCTACGATCCCACTCACTTCTCAAAATCCTGTAATCTCACTAAAACCCTCTCAAACCCCAGCTAAATTACTCAGAATTTCACGTTAGCAATCCAATCACAATATTCAAGTTAACTGCAAATGCACAAAGCAAGAGATGAGCCGAAGACAAAGCTGGAAAGGCAATAAATGCAAACTTAAAGACGACTTCAAAACCAAAGCTGTACAACGAACACGAGATATTGCCTCGCAATCACTCTCTAAAGCAGTCAAATCGCATCAACCTCAAACCAGAATCAATCTCTAATTCAATCGCATCAACCTCAAATCAAATTTCCTCACTCCAATCGAATCAACTAAAATCCGATCAGAATATCCCAACGTCACACCAATCTCCCCAAATCCTCTCAAATATCCACCGTCTCAAATCAACAATCCCACCACCACCATCAAATTCAATCCACCCATTCACTATCCAATAATATCACCAATATCATGACTCATCACCACCTCGAACGCTAAAATCCAAACCCGATAAAACAACATCAATCTGTTGTCTAAAGATAAGATTGAGGATAACGCTCACATCCACCAGAATAATCAATTCAATATCAACCAATCAACGCACCAACAATCATTCTTTCAAATGTTCCGTGACTGACTTCATTAATTTCGACCAAAAAATGAAAACCGATGATTTGTAACATTGAACAATGATAACAAATGAAAATTAGTAACGATAAACAGATGATGATAAAGATAGCAGTAGTGATAACGGTAAAAATACTCACTGACAACGGTATCAGTGAAGTCATAAAAAGGACTATCGAAGACACAACAAATATTGAATCTTCGATCGAATTTCTATACGAACCGAAGTGAAATATGCGAAGAGAAGAAATTTTGATGAAAACGACGAATATAAAAATCGAAATAAAACGCACAATAAAACGACTGAAGTGTTGAGAAGATTTGATTCGTTTGAATGAAAATAAATAACGAACGAAATAAATGAATAATCAAAGATGAGAAATGACAACAAAATAAATTATAAATACAAATCAATTTCACGCTCACACAATTCGAACGAATATCTCTGATTAATATCACGCAAACTCGCTTTTTAAATAATCGTATCCCTGACTGTTCTGAGAATATCCACTTTAAAGTCAAATGCAACCGTCTTCGGAACAAAACTATTACTACAACTCTTTTCTGAGGAATACAGCGATAAACAAGAACTCATTACCCTTCAAAAAGCAAGCATTCTCAAACAAAGAATATGCCTAATTATTCCTAAACAATAAGAATGCAATAAGATGAGTTTAATAACCCTAACTTGATATTGATACACATAATAAAAGTGATAATAATAATAACAACCTAAAGCCGTCGCAGACAATGATACCATATCCTCTCATCTCGTGATATTGATACACACTGATAAACACGATAAAATATAACGTAAAGCATGCACATCTGCATTCAAAATTAACATACCGTTTACTATTACACATACTTAATATGATATTATACGCCATCATGAAATTTAAACGTATTTATAACTGTTCAAATAATAAAGACACCTCTATCAAAACGCTATATACTCTATTGCAATGTTCGATTGTTATTATATGTACTTTATTGTTACGTATCATTGTTAGCAAGTAATATCATAAAATGGTGTTTGTTTTAGGAAAAGGTGAGCATTAAGTCTGCTTTTTTTGGATTATGAAACAAGAGCAGAGAACGCGATCGGTGTTTCGAAATTCAAATACGAGACGAGTTCAAAAAGCACTCAATAGAAAGTTAAAAAGCACTTCTACATGCCCTTATTGGAGTCTTGATGATGAAATTCACTTTTATCACTACTATTATTAATCATAACAAAACTTTTTCCCGTAGAATATACCAATGTTGCTATCATCAAATATTACAATTATTGAAATGAAATTCATGTTTCAGATGGGAAAAAAGAATGACAAAGGGTCGATGCGATGGTGATAAGCTACTGACTTGTTTGTACAAGCCAATTGAACATTTGAAGTGATCGGAACAGATGGCTGAACTGATCAGTTGATAACAATCAATTGATAAGATTAGTGAGGTAGAGCTTAAAAGCACGGCAAAGTGCACGGTACCAAAAGCATCAACGAAAAATCGAGCAATAACCAAAACAATACGAAAGCGATTAAAATAGATCGGTGCGAAAGAATGAGAGTTTCGATGAAGCATTGAGTTGAACGTAGTGTTTGAAGAATGAGAAATGACGTCAAGAGTGTGTTTTTGTCGATAACAGAGTCGAGAGTGATAGAGAGCGCATCGGAAAAGATTGAGAATGTGCGGAAAGCAATCGCTTTCACATGCACTGTTCCATCGTGTTTTTCGATAAAAATTGATGTTTTCAGATTCAATTTTAAGCTTTCACATTTTTTTAGCTCATGATCAATGAATCAGATCTAAAATCCAGTTCATCATACCAACTGGCCAAAAAAAAGTTATCATCAGAAATTCCCGTGCACATGATCGATTTGTAAAGCGGCTCGATGAAATTATTTCCAAACGATCACTCAAAGCATTTGTCTAGTCAATCACTGCCAGTGATATTAAATATCAATTGTCCTATTCATATAACCGTTCAACACTTCCCTCTATCTCATCTATTCTAAAAGTACAATGTTCTCAGCCTTAATGCCCAAGTGAAAACGGCCAACGGAACAGCTCAACGACAGAAATCGATGAAAAACTACTCGTATCTCAACAACCCAATTCCAACAACACAAACTAAAAGCAACAAACAAAACAAAAACAAAAGTTCAACGTATAATCTAATATAAAAACAACCCTACAACTGCCTCATTCCACACCAATCAAACGCCATCGAAATAAAAATCCAAGAAAACGACTCATTCCTCTAAGAAATCGAATAACAATAACAACAACAATCGCAAAAGCAACTCAACAAAAAACATCGGCTCACTACATCAAATGATGTAATCCAATAATCTCTGATCACCAATCAAAATAACGATAAGACAGCGCAAATAACTTCAATACCTTATGATAAGTGTGATGATATCTTCATCACAGAGAAACCATTGTCTGTGTGAGACTATTAATTAAATAATCAATCAATTAACCTTCACTAATCAATACTGCCAATCAGATCAAATCAACAATCTGATCAATTTATCAAATTCTATTGCATCCCGTTCAAGCAACAATCACAAAAGAGCAATTCGAATTGAGACGTTACGAAACGAACGAGTGCAATTATAACACTAATTAATCTGACATTTCACAACAGAATCAATTGCTGAAGATTATAATTACCTCACAAACCAATCATTCAGCACATTAATTGATATTATCACATTATCGCGAATTAATCAAAAATCAGAATTTCAACCTGAACTGTCCCTCTCCCCCCCC